TCCCACATGCTTATCACAGCTAGCAGCCATGACAGCCCACGTAGCAACATTTAACGGTCAGTGATTTCTGAAACAGTGAAGAAATCTTACACTCCCAGGATATCAGCATTGGAAGGGAACCAGCAGTTGGCGTAATGGCTATGTCGCTGGACTCCCATGAAGACAACCGCGGTTTGAATCCCAGACCCAGTGACTTAAACTCACGCCAGGCGCGTGTGCATGCGATCCCAAGAGGAGAATGGAGGAGAAGGGATTGTGGAGTGGCTATACCCCCTGGGAGGGGGATTTCTCACTTTCTGTCTTTCTGGCGAGCACACGTGCCCTATAGCAAAAAACTCTCCACACACACTCACACGCACATACACACACAACTATCCTATTAGATAGTCTATCAAAAATTCTGAAAGAAACAGAGGGTCCTGGTGGTTAAGGCAGCTGGATCCCACATGGCCAGCTGTGTAGTCTGAGTCCCAGACCTAGTGGCTTGAAAAACTGCTGGGCAGGCATGCATTCATGCCCAAAATCTGAGAGGAGAAGGGACTGCGGCATGACCATTCTCCTCTCTCACTCGCTCTCTCTCCAGTAAGTGTACACATCCTATAGCAAGTTAAAAAAAAATAATTATAAGAAACAGAGGGGCGGAGGCCAGCAGATGATATAGCGGTTACATCACTGGACTCCCACATGGCCGATCAAGGTTCGAGTCCTGGACCCACTGACTTCAAACTCATGCTGGACATGTGTGAGTGCCCAGCAGGAGAACAGAGGAGAAGGGACTATGAAGCAGTCATCCCCTTGGGGGGCGATTTCTCGCTTTCTGTCTCTTCGTCTCTAGGATGAGCACACGCGTCCCATAGCAAAAATCTCTCCAAAGGAAAAAAGAAAGAAACAGAAGGGGCTCGTTTTTTCCTAAGGCTGACAGCTTAATTATTACAGGCATTGTGCATTTACATATCATTTCAGTTTTAAGAATGTGAAATGTCACTAGCATTGGAGAAAATAAGTTGTACTGCTATGGGCTTAAATCCCTGACAAAATCATAACTGTATTAGTTATGCTTTATAATATCCGATGTTACGTGTGAATTTACAGAGTTACAAAGACAGGAGTAGGAGAGGCCAGAGTTTGCTTATCTGGTGACCTTGAACTAGACAAGAGGACCTTGTTTTATCATTGTGTGTGTGTGTGTGTGATAATGTTTCAAACATTTAATGGTTTCTTAATACAAGCAAATATACTGTCATGGTTAAGACTCACTTTGTTTGAATCATGATACAACTAGACCCCTAGGGACCAGCAGGGCATGGTGGTTAGGGTGCTGCACTCCCACGTGGCTGACTATGGTTCAAGTCCCAGACCTGGCAGCTTACTTTCTCATTTTCTCTGTCTCTCTCTCTCTGTCTCTCTCTGTTGAGTGCAGGTGCTCTATTATAAATTTAAAAATAAAAATAAAATAAGAATAATAATAAATAAAATAAAATTTTTAAAAAATTTGGCCCCTACATTGCAATGAATTACAATTAGATTCTATGTCTGACTCTTATCTAGGGTTACCCCAACCCCCATAACCAGAGAAAGAGTCCCTTCACCCCTTTTTTTTTTCCCTTAAGATTTATCTGTTGGAGAAATGGATTCATTTCTCCTACAAAGCTTCATGTGGTCTGGATTTTTCTGGTGGCATTCCAGTGGTGTGAGTTAATGTGTCTTTTAAATAAGTCATCAGGCTTAGACTTGGTCTGAGACATTGTCACCCCACTAATTGCCGGGGCTCACTGGCTGGCCTAGGCTTCCTCCCTCACCACTCCTGTGTGTTCTCCTCAAATTCACAGTCTCATTCAAAGAGGACTTTTCCAATACAAGAGGGCCTTTTTTTCTTTCCTTTTTAAGATTTTTGCTATAGGGCGCACCTGCTTGCTGGAGACAGAGACAGCATCAGAAACAGAAAGAGAGTGGAAAACACACCCAGGGAGGACAGCCACACCACAATCCATTCTCCTCTGGGGATTTTGGCATGCACACACACCCACCCAGCATAATTTTCAAGCCGCCGGGATTGGGACTCGAACAGCTGAGTCAGCCATTTGGGATCCAGAGCCTTAACCACCACATCACCTGCTGGCCCGAGGGCCATTCTTTGGTCAAGGGTATACAAGAAGTAGGCTCCCCTGCTGGGGCTTGCAAACACGCTCTCAAGATAACCTTGTTTTTATTTGATTGTTTGCTTCAGGGTCAAAGTGCTGTGGAGGTTTTTCCCCCTCTAACTGTAGGATGTGATAAGATATTTATTAATAATGGCCATAGGACAAACTGTCAATGTTGTTTCCACAACCAAATATCTGGATATTTGACAGACATTTTCTTTCTAAATTTTCCTATTAGAGAGGTTCTTATGACAGGAAATGACTAGTGTCAGTTATGAGGCTTTCTGTTGATAGTAACAGGAAAAAAAACACAGAAACCAACTCAAACTGGTTTAAACAATAAAGAGAATTATCAACTCATATGTGAAAACCTGAACATTGGAGTGGTGGCTTCGGGCACTATTTGATGAGGGCTGACTCTGTTTATTATTCTCTCAGATGCTCTCTCCTTTGTATGTCAGCTTGGTCCTCAAGCTGATTTCCCTCATCGTGGCAAAATGGCTACAGGTGCTCCTGCCCTCACATCCACACACAGCAAGAACTTCTCTTCTTTGGACCACTGAACAAAAGGCTTGACTTTCACTAAGCCAACTTAGATGATATGCCTTCTTTCCAACCAATTACTTAGCAAGGAGAAAAGATTGACGCTCATGGACTTGTGCTAGTCAAGGCTCATTCCAGGAGCTGAGGGTGGGGTCAACCTCATCCAAACAGCATGGCTACTATACAAGGGAGAAGGAAGGAATGTCTGTTAGAAAAGTAAGCCCATTGTTCACCATGGAACCACACTTATTCTCATTGTTTTTCTTTAGCTAAAACAAAGACAAAAAACCCTTCTCTTTAAAGGAAACCCTTCTTAGAGGCTTTCTCTCTCTCTTTCTCTCTCTCTCTCTCTCTCTGGTGAGTGTACATACCATGTAGCAAGTTAAAAAATAAAACTCACAATAAATAAAATTAAATAAATAATTCAAAAAACAAAAAACAAAAACAAAGAAAAAAAGAAACATCCAAATAGGAGCATAACTAAGCCCCTGGAACCAAAGATCTCCTAAAACACATAAGGAGATAAGTTACTCCTTTTTTTTAAAAGAGATAAGAAAATGAAAAATTACTCTTTATTTTCAAACTTATTACGAAGTCTTTGTTTTAAGTACATTTCAAAAACAGGTGTTACCTAAGTACAGGTTAATTATTTTACTATGAAAAAATAAATTTAAAATGAGGATATTGGATGACATTTGAGATATTAATTACTAAGGAAACTAAGATTCTAATATTATATAAATGTTTTTACTTAGTAAAAAAATAGCAATAAGAAAATTATAATATACTATCATGAAAACATTTTCAAATATGTCATTTCTTCCACAAAGGAAATTTTAAAAGGCTCAATTCAAGACAGTAAATCAAATGCCTGCTGCTAAGAGAATCTGAGAAAATCTGACATTCTGTTTCTGACATAGACAAGAAAATTATTTCACACCTAAGTTAATCAAGTAAGTCTCCAAGATAATTTGTGCTTGAAAAAAATGCAAGATTGGAGTGGGCATATGTGTGTGTGCCAGGAGGAATGATATTGAATAATTCATTTTTGTTTTGTTCTGTTTTTAAATAAAACTGAACAGGTTAATGAGGCTGAATTTTATAGAAATCAAA